ATCTGTGTCAGGAATTTTTTGGATTTAACATTTTCTTTGACAGATACATCGATTTCTTCCATTGTATCTTCTACACCTGAGATTCTTTCTTCCATTTCTTGTAGTCTGTTGGTTATGCTTACCTCTGTAGTTCCTGTTTTCTTCCCTAAATTCTTCCTTTCCATTATTTCCTCCATTTGTGTTTTCTTTAATTTTTCCAGTTCTATCTTCAGGTCTTGAGTTCTTTTGTTTACTTCCTTCACCTGTCTGGTTGTATTTTCCTGTTTTCTTTTAGTTCCTTCAACTCTGTCTCTTTTATTTCTTTCAGTGATTTAATTATTTCTTCTCTGATGGCCGCAAACTGTTTGGCTGCATCTTCCCGTATTTCTTCATGGATGGCCATAATCTACTTGTCTTTAACTTCCTCCAGTTCTTTACGGATAGCCATGATCTGTTTGGTTTTATCTTCCTCAAATTCTTTACGTATTTTATTTGTTTCCTCTATTATCCTCTTCATCAGCATAGATGTGAGGTCATCTTCTTGATTTTCTATTATGCTGGGTTGTCCAGGGCTGTTCGCCCCTGGATGGCTGGGTTCTGGAGATGCTATATTGCTCTGTCTTTTGTTGGTTGAGCTTTTATGCTGACCTCTACCCATTGGGCTGATTTAGGTGTTGGCTGTTAGTTTCTGTGCTTCCTGGAGTCTTGAGGTAGGGAGAATCCCCTTGGCCAGAAGATGATTTTTCCTGAAGGAGTCCTCCTCTGCTTTTTGGTTATGGTCACTGTATGGCCAGTGTTTCTTCGGAGTTGCCACTGCTTACCTCAGGTTTATAGCCCTGTGTAGTAGCTGTGGTCTTTGTTAGGCAGGGGGGAATCTCCTCGTACCCATAGAAGTTCTCAAGACAGCTGCCCCACTGCTGGGTTTCTCGTTATAAATTTAGCGTGCTGCTGCTCACTAAATTTCCAGGTACAGTCCTCTTGAAGAACCTGCTGATTCCCTAGCTGTGGGGTTTTCTCCCAATAGGGAAACTCAGTCTGTTATCCTGGGGCACACAGTTCTGTCCGGGAAAGTGAGAGGTACGTACAGCAAGTCTCTGGGCCAGAGGCTGAGTGCTCCGCTCTGGGCCTGGAGAATGTGTACCTAGGTTGAGTTGGTGCCTGGGGGTGCTGCTCTGGTCTGGAGGCTGGGTCCCTCACTCTGGACCAGAAGCTGTGTGTCCCTGTCTGGGATGGCGGCTGCAGGCATTGCTCTGGTCCAGACGCTGTGGGTGCAGCCCTCTTGAAAGATCAGGGATTCCCACAGTTTTGATAGTCTAGCTAGGGATAACTGGTTGATCCTTGGCACAGTATCTGAGGGCTGCTGTAATGGCTCTCTGGCCTTTGTAGGTCTGAGAATGCAGCTGTGTGTCTCAGTACTCTAGGGGAACTCAATAGTGGCGGCTGAGCACAATGCTCCTGCCTGCATTAGAGCTTAGAGTCTGCATGAATCCATGAAGTCTTTGTTGCTGGGTGTCCTGAGTGTTAGAGCTGCTGACCCCCTCCACTGGGGGTTTCCTCCTGCCAGAGACACCGAGTCTTTGCTGTGGGGACCGCTGTTCTGTCTGGGGTGGCAAGTAGAATCCACAGGCACAGATGCCTGTTTGTGGCTCTGCCTTTCTGGCCTTTGGGAGCCTTGGTGTCTGCCTAAAATGGGTAATTTCCCCGAGACCTTTTTGGGGTGGTGGTGTCGGCTGAGTGCTCTGAGATCAGACCAGCTGTTTCCTTCCCTGTGGGTTTGCACCTGACAGTGAAATACACTGCCACAGTTCTATCTGAGGCAGCGGAATCAGGCGCACAGGCAGGACTCTGTGCAGGCGCCTGGGTCCCCGGCTCTGGCTTCAGGCTGGCTCCTGTGGTGCCCGCAGAACCCGAGTCTTTTCCAGGGGATGTCTGGGTGACCTAGGGTTGGTCCCAATCGTTTCCTGCTCCATGGGGTTATCTCTCGACTGGAAAATCCAGTCTGTGGTGTTGTGGGCCCACAGTTCAGTCTGGGACAGTGATCAGATCATGCTGGCATGTAACTCTGGGCTGGCAATCAAGCGCCTGGCGGAACCGGGATCTCTTCTGTGGTTTAGCCGGGTGAGTTAAAGCTGATTGAATCCCCCATCGTGGGTTATCCTTTCGCCTGTGAAACACAATCACTTGTGTTTTATGGCAGCGAATTCTGATTGCTGGTCACTGTGACAATCCTGCTGTGCTGCTCCTCAGAATGAGAGTCCTCCTGGCACCGCCATCTTGCCATATTGCATTTCTTTAAGTATTTTCTACAATGTTAGCTTAGTTATTCTGTATCGTTTTAGCTTCTATTTGTCTTAAAATATTCTTACTTCTCTATTTTTTGATATAACAATGCCAGTTATTTATCTTCATACTTGAAATATAACACTTCAAGTATACATGTCATTTTAAGTTGCTGGACATATTGCTATTGTTATTGTTATTCTTATGTTTCTGACTTTGTATAATATTTGACATTTTTCTGCTTTTACCAATGCTTTTAATTGTTTCTTTATTTTAATTTTAATCTGATATACTGTCTTCTCTTGAATTTATATTCATGATAAGACCCAGAAAGAGATACAATTATTGAAGAGAAGTTATGATATTAGCTGCAGAAGAAGACATTTTTCAAGGTTGGACGTGGGGACGGGGTATGCTGGGGCAAGAGGAGGAAGTGGGGTGTGAATGTGAGGATAGGTGGGTAGAATATGTATGTGTGTTTGCAACTTTCAGCTTCAGATTCCCTTAATGTGGCTCTTTAAATCTTTATTTTCCTTTTTTTGTTCTGCTGGAAATTGAATTTGGGACCTCCCAAATCCATCCCAGCACTTCCTAATTAAACCATATCCCCATTCATGCTTTGGTTTTGCAAGAGGGAGGACTCTTGCTAAAATGCTCAATTCCTATCCAGAAAGGCAAAGAGGATGGACATCAAGAGAAGGAGAAAAGAGGGAATAAGTCGGGAGCCTGACACAGAGGACTTCTGAAAGGCTCTGCCCTGCAGACTATCAATGCAGATGTTGAGACTTATGCTGAGACTTTGGGCAGAGTGCAGGGAATCTTAGGAAAGAAGTGGGAAACAGTAAGATCTGGAGAGGATAGGAACTCCACAAGGAGAGCAACAGAACCAAAAAATCTGAGCACAGGGGTCTTTCCTGAGACTGATTCTCCAATCAAGGACTATGCATGGTGATAATCTACGACCCCTGCACAGATGTAGCCCATGGCAGTTCAGTATCCAAGTGGGTTCCATTGTAATAGGAATAGAGACTGTCTCTGACATGAACTGATTGGGCTGCTCCTTAATTACCTTCCCCCTGAAGGGGAAGCAGCCTTACCAGGCCACAGAAGAAGACACTGCAGCCACTCCTGATGAGACCTAATTGACTAGGGTCAGAAGGGAGGAAAAGAAGACCTCCCCTATCAGTGGACTTGGGGAGGGGCATGCATGCAGAGGGTGGAGAAAGGGATGGAGGGAACCACAGGGGGGATCCAAAGTGAATAAAGTGTAATTAATAAAGAATTAAAAAAAAAGATGTTGGGGAGGAGTCCTAGTTAAGAAATTCAAAACGTTAGGTCACTGTTTTTATCCAGATGTTTCTGTTAAATGATGACCACTTTCCATCTGAACTCCCCATTCTCATTTTCCTATGCTGATGCTTTCGGGCAGATTAACAAATATGCTGGGCTTCTGTTGATTGATTGCTTCTCTAAGGTAGTCGGAATCTTACCTACCCTTATTAACCTTGTCCTGTGCTTAGGCTTCTGGAGCAAATTTTACCAGAAATGTCCTGTGGTCCTACATGGTATGTCCTGACAGTTAGCAGGTCAGGTGTGTGGACATGTGATCCATCTGTGGTCCTATATGGTATGAACTGACAGTTAGCAGCTCAGGAGTTGGGATGCTGTATACAGAGAAGTGGGGTGTGAATGTGAGGGTAGGTGGGTTGGGATATGAGTGGGTCAGTACAAATTTCATCTTCAGAATCCCTTACCACAATATTGCTTCTGTTTGTCAGTGCAGGTTAATATCTGTTACCTTGAGCATCACACTAGTGTATCAAAATCTCTGTGTAAGTCTTGTGACCCTGATCTCTTTCTGTTCTAGGCAATGGCTGAGGAAAGGAGAGGGAATAAGGGTCCTGGAATGAGTGGAATGTATTTTGGAAGCATGTCTGTTAAGTGGCACTATATCCTTGTTAAAAAGAATATATTGGACCAGGGAACAGATAGTGTAAATGTTCTCTCTTATCACTTCCAACTTTGAACATACTAGACAATCATGTACATATATAAAGTATGTGACAAAGTAATGCCAGACCATTGTTAAAAGCTTTGGCAATACTCAGATCTGCAGTGCTTCCTATTTCCAGCAAAGCTTTGTTTCACACTTTGAATTGATATCACTCAACTCTTTAAAATTTCCTTATACAGGAAAGTCAAAGACACAATACACAAAATGACTGGGCATCTAAAATGCAGCATAAGCTCTGAGTCTTTTTCTGGCTAGTAGATGGAAAGAAGAAAGAGAGATTAGATAGTTGGGAAGGACAGCTGGATGTGGGTGAACTGTAATGCTAGAGAAACTTGAAATCTTTTTCTCAGTTCTACACTGGGTTTTCTGTGTTACTCTGCAAAATGTTCCTCTTCCTGTCTTTGTGCATTTTCTCTTTTATGCTAAGTGGTTGAGAATCAGTTCTGACCTCACTCACTAGGATTTGAATGCTTATTATATTCTATCACTTTTGTGGATGTGTCCTGGAAAAACAGTGTTAAACCTTTAGTTATCTGGGTAGATAGAGTGGTAATTTGAAGAAGATGAAGATAGTTCATTGTGAAGTTGTAGAACTTTATTTATCACATATATATTTTACCAGAGTTCATTTCACCCAAGTTTGTGTTAATATAGATATGCACACAGGAAAGGAACACTGTTCCCCACGGGCAGTTTGGCGACAGATCTATGGGGGTTGTCTTCCAGTTCATGATGTTACAAGGATTTCATGTGTAATAGTCTCTGTGTAGGAAGTTGCTGGGAATATGTTTTCACCATCAGGGCATATGTCCTTAGCTGGAACAACTTCTGCCTTCCCTTGTAAAACAGTATTTGCTATAGGAAGGAAAGCAGAAGTGTTAAATCATGAGCTCCACGTAGGTTCATCCACACCCCTTCCTGGTTTTAGCATAGTCTGATTCCAGTTTCTATAAGCAAGATAGAGCTACTGTGTGAACTCCCTTCTCTTAGTTTCAGAGTCTTCTCTCCCCTTGTTTTCTTTCAATTTGGTTTCTCATCAATATCCAGACACTCTCCTCTTTCTTCCTTCTACAGCATGGTTTCTTTTCTTCCCACTCGGAGCCACCCTGACATTCACTGTTATTGGATGTTCATAAGTAGGTAGGAAATGTTACCACTCACCAGAGACTTGAATGTCCCAGAAGTAGTTGTTTACAGTACAAATGCAAGCAGTGTAAGATGCATGAGCTGAAAGGTACTTGATGTTTGGATTGTCCTCAGTACTGATTTTCACCTGAGTAAAGAAAGTAAGGAAGGGTTAATTAGTGATGATACAAAGGCAGCAGCCTGGGATTAACCATTACACAAAATAAGGAATTCCTAGAGCACTATTGGAAGGAAGGAATAAGTGTTTCCTCTTAGTTATCAGGATACACTAGAGGCTTAGCAGATTTTTGTAACTTTTATGTCAAATTCAAGTTTAGCCCCCTTTCATTGTAAGAAGATCAAATGATTTTTGTCATAGTGAATGACTGAAATTTATTTATTTTTTTTAGAACTTGTCAGATATTACATGTTACCATCTAATGGAGTGAAGCTGTGTGTGTGTATGTGTGTATGTGTATGTGCTGATGTGTGTGCATGTGTGTGCATGTGTGTGTGTGTGTGTTGTGTTGGGGAGGGGAGCTCCAGGGCTGGGTATGTATAATTCTAGTGCAGCCCAAACCACAGATACCCGCTTGGACTTTGGTGGTAACCTAAGCCATAGATATGAAAAAATCTGACATCACAGTAATCCAGCTGCAGCAGGACCACAGAACTGGACATGGCCCAGGGCTACAGCACAGACCCAGGAGTTCACATGGTCTCCTCATATCTGCCTGTTCCTCCCCACTGCTGGGTGTCAGTTTGTGGGAGTTTAGTCCTTTATTTTAGCAATGTGAGAACCAAAGAATATTGTTGTTGCATTATGTTTAGGACATTAGTTTAGGACATGAAAAGACTAATAAGCAAATGTATTATAACCCAAACTCTCTGACTTTGGTTTTCCTGCTTTGTGCCACAGTATTTGTTACACTGAGTTTTCTTTCTGTCATTGTGAAAAGAAATTATTGATAACGGCAATCCTTGCATGAGTTTGTAAGACAACGTACTTTCTGAGTCAAAGGGATCATTTTAGTCTTATAATGACATGTTTATAGTATGAATAGAAACAGTCCCTTGGCTGACTAATATTTAGACAATGTTTTTTTTTCCAAATAAGAGATACAATGTTTTCACCAATCATCAGATATAAGAAATGACTTTTACGTGAGTTAAGAAATGTACTATGTTAGAAACTGAAAGGAGAGAACTTCAGGCTATCTTCTGGATACCAGATCAAAAAGTATTTCTTGCTTTATTTTTATTTAGGTAAACATCAGGGACTGTTGTATTTCTAGTATGGCTGTTGATATAATGAAAACTTTCTCTTCTTTTTTTGTAATGATTTTAAAATACAATTAGAAAAAGATTTACTTATTTTTATTTTATGTTTGTACTCTATATCCACAAATACCAGAAGATAGTGTCAGATGCCCTGCATCTATAGTAGATAGATGGCTGTGTCAGTCACTCAGGTTGCTCTGAAAGAGCAGCAATTGCTCTTAACCCAGGAATCACATCTCCAGCTCTCAAAACTTCCTTTTGTGTCTCATTTATAAAAACAGAAAAGATACGTTTGTAGGAATTGGTAAGGTAATTGCGAGTGTGGGTTGAAGAGTTTATAACAACTGAAGTGGGACATAGACGAAGGAATTAAGGTGGAGACAGTGTGTATCTGGGCTTATGGGGACAAGTAAGCCCTCACACTGAGGGACAGGGCACAGTCACCTCATGCCTGTATTTCTTACACCTGCCAAAGTCTGTTGACCTGTATGTTCTTGACTCTCCATCATTGCTGCATGAGGTGAAGTAACAGGGTGAGTGGCAGTGTGAAGATAAGGCCAATAGCGTTTCCCGGTCACTGCCACTCAGTCGTATTTATCTTTGATTCATTGCTATTATCTCTGATCTTCACACTTCCCATAATTTTTTACTCTAAATTTTCATCTTGTTTCTTTGTGGGGAGGCTTATCCCCCACTCACCAATCTCCTTCATAACCCTATTACTTTACTTTTAGAATAGAATTGTAAACTAACATAATTTCTCTGAGTTTCAAACCGTGTACACAGAAAAACCTAATAGCACAGCATTAGCATAATAGTAAATCGCTGGAAGTTCTTTGTTATAATACTTCTATTTCGAGGTAGCTCTGAATTATTTACTTACCACCATGCATTTATCCACATTATTTGTAATGGTGAGTGTTACTGTAAATTCATTTGACTTGCTCATCGAAGAAACTTTTAAACTTAGCGAAAGCAGATTGTTCCTGTACCAGCAGAAAAGACAGAAACACAAAATCACACAAAAGTCCTTTATGAAGAGGCAGAGAGAGAGCCGGGACCAAGTATTGGGAGATGCTAATAAAGTTCAACTCATTACCCGGGAAGGAGGCTCTGTGTGTGATTTCTCCCACAGGATTCTATGTTCCTAACCAACACACACACACAGCAGGATAAGGAAAATGGAGGATAGAATACAAATCAGAGGTCACTAGCTGAGTGTGGGAGCTGGGCTTGCAAAGGTACTTTTCCAGTCATTATTCCCGGCTGGAACTTTATGACTTCACCATCTATACTTATGCATTCACCTTCCTGTTTTCCTTCTACAATTATCTAAAGGTTCTCCAGAGCTCTCTTTTGTCCAAAACTAGAACATGAAGAAGGATATTATACACCTGGATTCTGCTAAATTATCATATAAATGAAAGTGTCTTGACAGTAACAATTGATTCACTGCAATAATTTTTATTTGGCTCACCGTGTTTTAGATCTGAAGGAGGGAACATCAAAAATTCTAGATGACAAAAGTAAGATTTCCAACTCAAATACTCTTGATATTATTCCCTGTGTTGACCAGTCCTCTGCCCCTCTAGAAATGCTCTTCCTTGGCAGATAAAATTTCCCTCTCCAAATTTCTGTGGATTCTTTACCATATGGTAGATTCTCCTTTCCCACATCATTCTGTGTACTGCTAGTGGAAACTCAATGATTTATTTCAAAAGTCATAGAACCAAATACATAACATTTTCTCCTTGTATGAATTGGAATATGATATTTTTCTTTCTTTAGCTGTTAACATAGAGAAGAGATTTATCACAAAGAATCTTGCATTAATAAACAAGCATAAAAAGAGCAAGGTACATTAAATATTCTGCATTTTTCCTTTTGTTTAAGCAAATCTGCTCCAGGTGTGGTTAGCAGAGCCCTGCATATTGAACTTACAAGGATGTTGGCATTTGTTTTAGATAATTTTTCTATAATTTATTAGTTTTGTTTTCTGTTATTTGAGTCAAGATGTCCACTATGTCACCAGGGGAGATGTGTATATGAAATCCTTTGCTTCCACATATCAAGTTTAGAATTAGTGGTGAGTTATAACCTGCTTATAGCTTATTTACCAAATAGGCCAATCTCACCTCTCTTCTCATACTTGTTTTGTTGGTGAAAAATAATGATACCATAATCTAGGCAGTTTAGACATAATCTTTTAATTGTCATCTAGTCATTTTTTATCAGAATGTAGGCCTGAGAAGGTACATATTGTCTCACAGTTTAGAAATGTGAAACTTAGAGCCACAAGCAGTGAGAATCCAATATGTGTCCCCTTCAAGTAGGAACATATTTCTAAGAAGGAGATGAAGAAAAAGAGCCTTACCAATTGTCCTCACCGTAGGCCATCTCCAGAAGTAAGCACACAATCAGGAGATGTATAACAGCTCGGGGCTGGCAGAGAATTTGAAAAGAAGTCATCCTGTAAGAGCTGACACTCATGAGCTTTAAGGATATGAAACCCAGATCTCCTTTTATTTGAATCAGGAAGACAGAGAAACAGATGTGTAGGTGTACTCAGATAAAATCATAATTTATTGGGATTCCTCCCATTCCCACCTTGTTTGTTCTTCTGTAACAAAGGTCAGTATTCAGCTGGACCTTCAAAATGGATTATAGTAAATAAGATATAACATATTGATGTTTGTCATTATGAGATTAGAATGTTTTTAGATTATTAGTGTAGGGAGCTGAGACTCCAGTGGCCGGCTTTGATATTTAAATCTTGGAGAGAGATGGCTTTTAGGAGGCCTTTACTAATGGCAGAGAAGAACTTGCAAGTCAATCTCCTTTTGTTTGTGACAGCAGGTGGGATAGCTGTGAGGGTCACACCTCTTCCTCAGGCTCCTTGTGCAAATTAACCTATTGTTCTGAGATGTTTTACTGGCTAAAAGTAACTCCTGACAATAAAAGAGGTCAGAGGGCTGAAGGCAGAGAAGGTGGAGACTTGAGACTTGCGGCTTGCACTGCAGCCTGCCTTTTGCTGTGGCTGTCTGGACCTTTAAAAAGTTTCCTGTGTGCTATGTGTTTATTTTATTAATATTAATCCTCACTCCCGACTCAAGAACTGTTCGACTCTGCTGGCTGGCTCTGGCATATTAGGATAGATACTATTTCAATTTTTCTCAATAGGATCTGGTTTTTTTTTTTTTAATACAATACAAATACTATGGAGTTATGTAAACTTTAATAACTTCTTTTGTATTCTGGATACCATAAATTCTCACCTCGCTAACTAACACTAACTAAAAATTTTCTACAGTTGAGTAATGACTCAGCATATTATTGTTAACTCATCTCCCCTATTTTAGGTACAGTGGATCTTCTCTAGGAAATGATGGTCTTTCTTTACATACAGAGTAAGTTTCTTGAAAATTCAAGGCATGCATTTATGAAGAAGTCTCCTGTGAGAAGGGCATGCAGATATACTTGATATAATTTAAACCATATCATCAGAGAGCAAGAACTCAGATACCTTCACTTCTATGTATTAGTTCTTCTACAATAGTTGTGTTCACATTAGATGTGTAGGGCCCGAAATCTAGAAACTTCCAGCAAGAGTCGTGTTATCTTAGTTCTCTAACTTTAGTTACTGCTCAGCTTCCTTTGCCTACATGTGTGTGGAGGTGCAGTGTGGGGAGAGATGCCAGACCCTACTTTCAAAGGGAGTTTGTGATCATCTCCTTTGATCTACAAAACTCTTAGAGAGTTAGGAAAACAAGGGGATTCCTGGATGTGCCCACCCACCATTAAAATAAGAGAATTTTGTTATCCCCTGATAGATGGCGAGGTGCTAAGAGTGGATAGATCAGATAGCTCAGAATTCAGAGTGTCTACTATTCCATGATTCTTATTGTAAAGGTGTGCCGAGGTTACAAGACCAAGAGATGATTTATGAGATGGCATCTGCTCAGTGCTATTTATTTTATCAGTGTTGCCTATGGATTGGGAGAGGCTACTGTCAAACACCGTGTGTCATGCAGCTCTAGGGATTTTTTTTTTCTTAAATAAACTCTTTAAATGAACCACCCCACTTCTCCTTTCCTTATATTCATTTGTTATGTAAGTACACTTGGGTCTTTATCTTTTCTTTAACTTTGTTGTTCATAAACTTTTATTATTTAAAAATATTACCTCTGTATTTCATTAATTTCTTATAATTTAAAAGTTTCTATTGCATAAAGTTCAGGAAACTGCACAGGTGTATAATCAGGACACACTGGTTATTGTTCAGTGTAGGGTCCCAGAAAAGAGTACCAGGAGAACGGAAGATAGAACAAATATAAGATAGAGAAGATAAGAAATCTTGGGCCCAAAAGACATTGCAAAAGCTATCTTATGCCAAACAACACTATTATGAAGCAAACCATCTTGTGGAAGTAACTCCCTATAGCTAGTTTGTCTTAAGTCCATGTCTCTCTATAACATGGAAACCATACTCGACAGTTTAGGTGAGCAAAACATGAGACTAGATAGCCCAAAGGCCTAGGGTAAAACCAAGTACAAGTGTTCTAAAATAACACAAACAAACCAAAACAAAATGTAGCAATAAATGACTCCTAATGACACCCCATTACACTCATAGATAAGTACGGTGTTCAGCTGTTATCAGAAAAGCTTACTCCTGCAGCATATAGGAACAAATACAGAGACCAGCGGCACAACAATATGCAGAGAATGAAAGACCTTGGAAGACTAAGGCCTAAAAGAGATATGTTCATCAAATCCTCAACTCTCTGCCCCAGGGTTCAGGGAACTCTGCATTGTCATAGGGAGAAAAAAATGTAAGAGCTGGAGAGGGTAGAAGACACCAACAAAATAAGACCTCTAAATCAACATAATTAAAGTTCCTATGAACTCACAGAGACTGAAGGAACATGCACAGGGCCAGGGCCTTTCTTGTTCTTCACCAGGTCCTCTGTGTATATATTGTGGCTTCCAGATTAGGGTTTCAATAGAATTCCTGCGTAAATGAGTGGGTTTCTGTGTCTTTTATACTTTTGGGGGATGAAGAGCTGCCTCTTTTCCTTCTGTTTATTTGTGTTGTCCAATTCTGATAAGTTAATTTTTGTTTTATTTTATTATTTTATTATTTTATTATTATCCCTCGGAAGTGTGTTTTATTTTCTAATGAGAGATAGAAAGGGAGTAGATTTGGATGGAAGGGGAGGATCTCAGAGGAGTAGAGGGAAGGAAAACCATAATTATGATATATTATGTAAGAAAATATATTTTCAATAAATGAAAAAAATAAAAAGAAGAAATATCAAAGAATAGAAACAGAGTCAGGTTTTAGAGTCAGGTTTTGGAGCCAGTAGCCCAGCCTTACCACAGCACACAACTTTGTCTTTTCTCTTCTACTCAGCATTACTTCTGTGATAGAATCTCACGAAGCTGGGATTAATTAAGGGCAGGAGTTTATGCTTTTGTAGAGGTTTGTGTTTATAACACATGACTTATAATATAATGTAGGGTTTTGATGTCTTGCATTGTGTTCTTTGACCCGACAGTGCTCGTGACAGTCTTTTGGGGGTTCTTCTTCACATTCCAATCCATGGTCCTAGCTCATGAATTCATGAAAATCATATCAAGGATAGCAATATGATTTGCTATGTATTAAGCAGTTGTATTTAAAAATAATTCATAATCTATGTTTTTATTAAGTAAATGTGTTCTGGATGTGTTACAAGAGAGTGTGATACTTTTCTCAGTATTTTATTGATTTTCATTTGCAGAACCTCAGATGGTAGCAAAGTGGCCAGCACCATAAAATTCAGCCAGGTGAAGATGGGGAAGATATGATGGAAATACCAACCATATTATGACAGATGTGTAGAGACAAATATATACCCTAGTGTTTGATTAGAAGTCCAGAGATCGTGAGTGGGAAGGATAACTTAACTCTTTCGAAAGCAGGTATGAAACTCAAATTATTTAACACATTTTAAACTTTCTATGAAATATATATATAGAAATTAGGAATAATTCTCTTAGAGTCATCTCTGAGCATAGTTTACTCCATGGCTGATGGAGCAAAACAGTTTTTATGAAGGTGACAGGACTGGGGGAGATAATGTCTCAGTTCTGAAAATAGTTCCAAATGTCTTAATCCAGAAAACTTCAAGGAAAGTGCAGAATGGAAGTAAACAATTTCTTTTTAGTTGCATTGCATTAGTGAGATGAGGACAATTAAGTTAGTGTACTAAAAGTTAGAGATATAAGATTAAATAGTTAATTGTGCAGATAAAAATAACACATGACTTTAGCCTACGTGCTCCTTTTTCCCTCATTTTATTTATCTATTTACCCCAATAGCTTTGGCATGGATCTATTAAATAACGTGTAGTATTGTTCCTTTTAATCTGGAGGCAAAAGGAACTATTGATATTCTTCTCTAGGCTTTGTATTGATGGATCTTGGCAGTTTGTAGTGAGTTGTGGAGTCTTTACAGAGTGGGAGAGAATGTCATGTATACACTCTTCCATTTATATCTCTAGGGTGTTATTTATAATACAAGAAACTTATCTACTGTAATAAGCAAAGTCCACAGACATTAAAGCATTATCCTTTTTGTAGCGTTTTTAGATATTAAAGTTGAATACATGTGTTGGGAATCTGGGGATCTGAGGGCATCAGAGAGGGCGTAAGGAGAAGCTTATAGGTCACTAAAAGAGATCTGCAAGTGCACTAGCTGTATGAGAAAACAGATAGTAGAAGAAACAGGAAGTATCGCATTGTCACATATGTGAAACTGTGATATAGTTTGATTTTATAATTGTATAAGTCATACAACATAGTTAGAAATGTGCTGTTGGTTCCTTTTTGTTGCTGTACTAAAAAAAGCACAATCAAAAGCAACTTTGGGAACCCATTTATTTGGGTTTACAGTTCTAGAGTGAAGAGTCTATCATGGTGGAGAGGTATGGCAGCAAGTGGCAGCATGGAGGCAAGAGCTGGAAGCTGAGATATCACATTTTCAACCCAAACAGGAGGAAGAAAAAAAATGAACTGGAAAGTAGAGAGAGTTTATAAACTCTCAAAGAACACCCTCAGCTATGCACTTCCTCCAGCAAGGCTCTATGTGCTAAAATTTCCACTACTATTTCAGAAAGCACCACCAACTACTGTCCTCTATGGGCAACTTTTTTTCTTTCATCCTATCATGTCTCTTTATTTATATTTATATAAACAGCCTGGTAGTAAGAAAGTTAAATTTTTCATGTTGGAGGATAGGGAGTTAGGGTAATTAACTTGAAAAACAAACAAACAAACAAAAAAGCATAGCTGGTAAGGTACTTAACACAGTCTCTGAGTTAGGTGTTACTGTTAAATGACACAAAGACACCTTCTCTGCTTCTCTGCCTCTGAATAGCATGAAGGTTCATAAAGGAATTTTAACCCAGCAACATGGCTGACCTAGC